CAGGAGGACTGAGGAAGTAGGTCCACTGGTAAAGTATTTGTCTAGCATGTAAGAAAATCTGGGTTTGATCCCCAGTACTGTATAAATTGGGCTTAGTGGTACATGCCTATAATCTCACTATTAATGAGGTAAAGGCAGGAAGATCAGAACTTCAAGGTCCTCCTCAGCTACAAATGAAGTTCAAGGCAAGCCTGGGCTCCATGAGACCCTGTCTCGAAGAGGAGAAAGAGGAGGAGGCAGAGGCTACTGCCAGCATCTGTAAGGGGCTTTCAAGGCCAAAAGCAAAGCTGGATGAGCATCTGGAGCCACTAAACTCTCTCTTGCCATCTCCCTCTTTACAGAAGAGGAAATTGTGGCCAGAATGGAGAACTGATGGGACTGAAATTTTCCTGATCCAGAGAATCACCTCAGGGGTTCCCATCTTTCATTAAGAAGGCTTTGGATGCTGGAGTTAGCTCTACAAGAAGCCTTGGTCCCCAGCACTGCATAAAACTTGCATGGTGGCACATGCTTATAATACGGGTATCCATGAGGTGGAAGAGGGAAGATCAGAAGTTCACGGTCATCCTTGGCTACATAGCAAGTTAAAGGCCACCTGAGATACATAATACCTGTTTTAGAGCAAGAAGGGTAGGGGCTTTGTTCCTCTTCCATACAAATCTGCCCCTTTACCCCAGAGAGACCTGGAGGCTGGTCCCTAGACACCAACCTCTATGTTTTGGGGGTAGTGCTATGGACACATCACGAATGCCTGGGACTCCCCATCATCAGTGATCTGCATGGCCCCGGATACATTCCTTCCCTGTTCCTGACCTCAGTTCACACTCATACCATAGGGAAACCAATGCAAGTGAGCCCCAAAGCCCTTTTCATATTTGACATTTGGGCAATTCTTGAGCGTCTGGCCCTCCCCAGAGACAGCACTGTCTGCCACAGGGCGGAAAAGCTAGTATCTCCAGCAGATGAAAGGTTCAAGCAAGCATCAAGACATCAAACAGGCAAGCTCTAAGGCAGAAGGAGCAAGGGTATTAGTGTGATTAAAGCTGTACACATACATACTTTGATTTCCACCCTCCTACACCAGGTTGAGCATCAGCCACCCGCCCCCTAAGAGAGTGCCTAGGTGTGGGGAGCCCTGGGACCAGGCCTGGGGTTTCAAGAAGCTGTTTTCCTGAGGCTCTGGACCCTGAGGCTTGGGAGGGCTACCAGGAGGGCTTCTTTGCAGGAAGCAGCAAGTGTGTGAATTCTCCATCTGATTCCATGAGGGTGGGTCCCTGGGAACATTCCTGCTGCCCCTGCTGGAGCCCCTCATTGGTATGGGCCAAAGTCTTGCTATCTCTTGAGAGCAAAGCTTGGCATTGGAAAGGACCTGAAGGATTGTACACAGCCACTCACAGCCTTCCTCACAGCCCTCCTTGCTCTCAGTACCCCCAAGGAAACAGGCCTGTAATCTGCAGGAATACACCCTAAAAGCTCTGTAGAAAACAGCACATTAAAGAGCCCTCTCCTGGTTAGAAAGTTCGCCTCCTTATTGCAGGTTAAGGTTTTCCATTAGCAGTCATTGATCCAGACCTCTTTCTGCAATGTGTAAAGAAAGCATAAGAAAAAACTCTTTCATTGTGAAGTTAAATATGCATGATCCCTGAGTACACAGCAGGGCTTGTACAGCTGCCAATCTGGGCTGGCAGGGCTTGGAATCCTGAAATTGTTCTGGGGTAGCAGGGCGCTTAGTGATCATCAGGGTCAGTCTCCTTGTTAAAACAGTCACATGGTGTTCCAGGATTTGACCCCCTCTGGATTTCTGAGGGTCTCCCACAGATGAGGCATGTCCTCAGAGTTTAGGCTGGGTCCCTGAGCCCCACCCAGTCTCATATCATAGGACTCTGAAATCAAACACCAGATCCTAATCCAGATCCCCCACTTCATAGCTGTAGGACTCTGGGTAACTAATTTTGTCTCTCTGGACATTCCTCATCTGTAAAATGGGAAGAATTTAGATCTATTCCTCCAGGTGGCAATGATTTAAGTAGCCCAGTAAATATTTATGAAGGGCTTCTTGAATGGCAGGTGTTCTAAGCACTGAGGAGCAGAGTAGAGAATTTTAAGGTAATGAACAAAAAGACATGGTTAAAACGCACACACAAAGTGCTCAGGAGTTGCTGGTCCTGCCCACATGGTTTCCTAGCTGAGGCACCTGATGAGAGACCACACCTTTCTTCTCCCTCTCTGCTCTCGGGGTGGGACGACTGTGGAAAAAGTACTATTCCAAGGTTCAGAACCAAGGATCAGTCCAAGATTCAGAACCATCTGCAAGAAGTGGGTGGCCCTTTCTGGAATGTCTGGAGGCCTGTCTTCCCCACTCCCCACCACACTCCAAAGCCTGTCCTGAGCAAAAGCTAGACTTCTTCCTATCACCAAAAGGCAGCCTGTGCACTGGGCCTGGAGAATGGGGTGCAAGTGTCCAGGTCCCTCCTATTGGTCAGGGGTCTTTAGGCTGCAGATCATTTTCCCAGCCACACGGCCCTGCACAGGAAGTGGAGGGTGCAGTGGCCTCTCTAGGCTGTGGCCACAGGTCTACTCCACAGCTTGCAAGAACCAGGCTAACACCTTGCAAGAGGCTACCTAGGGAAGCCCACATGCTGCCCTCATATAGTCACAGAGGAAGAGCTTTGAGGCCCAGAAGGACAAAGTGCTGGCCCAGGGTCACACAGTCCGCCATCAGTGGAATCAGAAGTTAGTGCCCAGTGTTTATCACAGTGCTCATGACCTCTCAGTATGGTAGCAGCTCGGGGAGTGGGCATTGGTGCTAAGGGTGCCACACAGTGCTTACGCAAGCATGGGTCTTCTAATTTTGAGTCCCCGGCTTTCTACTACAGTCCTACATCTGCTGGCAATTACAAGCCCAGCTTTTCTTCCCACAGAGGAGGGACGGTCACTGATAAGCCTCTGAAAGGAAGGTGCTTGCCAGACAGCTTCCTACCTCAATCAGGACCAGAGATGGGGTCCTTGAAGCAACTAGGCCTGAGGCTACACTTTCTGTTAGGGGAACTTCTGATGACATCAGGGTGCCCAGATATTGTGCAGCCAGGCAGGCGGTAGGGAGTGCAGCCTTTGTGTTTACTCTGACTTTGGTCTAAATGCCAGCTCTGCTATGTGACCTAGGACAGCTATGTAGCCCTGGTTTCCTCATCTGCAAAGGATGACAACAAAACTAACTCTTGCTGTGAGGGATACAAGGCACCAGGCTCTGGGCCCACTGATGATAGTGCCACCATGACTACATGCCCCCTGTGCTGTGGGCCCAGGGCCTTCTGCCTGGAGACAGGGAAGGACTGCTCAATTCAGAAAGACCTGTTGGAAGTTCCTGGGGGTGGGGGTGGGAGACACTTGTCCCTGTTTGCCACAGGAAGATGCAGTCTGAAGGAGTTACCTGGGGTTCTAGAAGAAAGTCAGGACCCTGATCAGAAGTACATCTAGGAGTGGTGGCACAGGCTTTTAATCCCAGCACTTGGGAGACAAAGGCAGGTGATCTCTGTGAGTTTGTGTCCAGCCTGGTCTATATAGGGAGCTCCAGGCCAGCCAGTGAGACCCATCTTAAAACAAAACAAAACAATACAAAACCAAAAAAAGAGAACTAAAAACAAAACAGGAGGGAAGGTCTTCAGTGAGTCTCTCCCCCTGGCCACCACATTCTCACTGCCCACCCAGGGCTGGGCACTCGGGCCAGGACACAAGAAAGCTAGAGCTGGGTCCAAACAGTCTGTGACGTACAGAGTAGCAGCAGAGTGGCAGAGATTAGTATTCTAATGGGAAGGTTGTAACAGGTACCTGGAAGCTGAACCTGAGAGAACTGCTTGGAAGAGGTGTGGGCAGGAGAGCCGAAGAGGGAAATGATGAGGAAGAACATTCCAAGCCAGAGAGAGGGAGGGCAAATGCCCACAGGCAGAGTGGTACAAATTTCATCTACAAATTCTGGAATGTAGCCGGCTGGGAACCAAGAGCCCACGTTTGGAGTACTGGAGAGGGGAAGTTTACAGTCACTCAAGTCCTGCCACAGTCCTGGACTGTGTGGTCACAGTTGGGTGGCTGTCACATTGACGTGGAAAAAGAAACCATTGCTGCCTCTGGGAGCAGGTGAGCATCACGGAGAGTCTCAGAGGGTTGGGCTCAGCCCTTCCGCAGTAAGAGCCTGTCAGTGGCCACCACTGCAGGAGATGGGGCTTTCTATAGACACTTGGGAGCTACAGAGGGCTCTAGGTGGAGGTGTTATAATCAGATTCACAGTTTAGATGTTGGGATAGAGTGGAGAAGGAGCAGTGTCCAAGGAGGAAAGCATGGAAGAAAATGGCCCGGCCACACCCCTCTTCACAGAGGAGCCCCCAGACCTGCTGGCCAGGTCCCAAACCCCACTCCAGCGAGAAGGCCACTAGGCAGTTATTAAGCTCCCTTCCACCCAGACTCTGGGACCCAGAACTTTCCAATGGCTGGGGGTTTGGAAGGACATCTTAGGAATTTGGAAAATTTGCAAATCCATTTAAATCCCAAAGGTTGCCTGGTGGTTGACTGGCCCGGAGCCAGTCGAATTCCCAGGAACCAGGCTTGAACAAGGCAGGGACAGGACTAGGGACAGGGGCCTGGAGTCCTAAGGTCCCAGTCCCTTACTAAGTCCCCTTCTACATACCCTGCTTGCCACCTCTGGATTCCCCTCCCTTGTCCCTGCTAACCGGCCCCAAGCCCCACACTTTGCTGTGCTTTGGAGGGTCTGCTTACTAGGCAGCCAGAAGACTCTGGGGGCAGTGGGTTGCAGGGTTGAGGGGGACCAGCCACCCAAGAGAGGAGGAGGGAACTGGCTCCTCCAGCACTGATATCACCCAAAGTCACCGGCCTCCTCCCATCTGGTTTTGTTAAAATTTTTTCCTTTATTTTTTGACTGCTCAAAAAGGCATAGGCTGGGATGAGGGGATAAGGCATAGGATGGGGTCTGTCCTTGGGACACTTACCATGCTGCTGATGGCTTCTGGTATGTGCTGTCACCCCCTCCAGGAAGTCCTCCTCACTGTCCTCTGTTATTTTGCTGGACCCAAAATAGGAAGCTATTGGGAAGGAGGGAGGGAGGCCTGATCATGCAAGCCCCAGGAGACTCTGGGGAAAGGAGAGGGTGTGCAGGGGTGAGGGGCGGCCCAGCCTCGCCTCACTCCCAAAGCATCCTCTGGGAGGAGCGGAGCAGCCTGGAGGGGGCCGCCCTGGGTCTGGCTGACTGCTCGGATGGCAGCCGACTGGTCTGGGCCAGTTCTGGCTCTGGGCTTCTCCTTGGTCTCTTCCTCTGTAAGTTACTCCCAGAGTAATCCTGGGTTCCAGATAGGACGGCAGAGACTGTGGCCACAGTCAGTCCCAGAGCTCACACCACTGTGGGCTTCCCAACGCCCCCCCTCTTTGGGGGAAAGGCTGCAGGGCTGCCTCTGATTGGCCAGGCTGGGAG